TAATTCAAGAATAAGAGTTAATAAGATTAACTCAAATTACAAAGAGTTGTAAACCCACTACTAGTATTAATTGTGAATCTAAAAGGTCACACCAATGTTTGTATAGAGACAGATATTAGTATTTCTAAAGAGTTAGAATTAATTGACAAAATCTAATTTTGATTAAATGTCAATTAAAGAAATATATTAAATTAATCAATTGGATTGATTAATATTAATTTAGTGACTAATGTAATTACTAAATTAATAGTTGGATTCTAAAATTGGATTTTAAAATTCAAATCATATAATGATATGATTATTATATGAAAGGAGAATATTAAATATAATATATATGTTTACAAATGATTTTAAAAGAGTTTAAAATTATTTGTTTATTATTATTATTGATTTTTAATTTTTATTAAAAATTAAATAATAATGATAATAATATAATAATGACAAGATGGAGTCTTGCAATTATCATATTGTTGTATTAACTTGTAGAAATGAGAAAAGATTTTTTAATTTTGCTTGTCAAAATTATTAAAGACTTTTGTAACATTTCTTGTAAAAGTTATACAAGTCATATATATTTTATTGCTAAAAAGTTTAGTATAAATATGGGCATGGTTGATGTTCATTTTTGCAAGAATTTGTGTTAACATTTTCACTTATAATTTGAGAGATAAAGAGTTAGTATTTCATTTTTGTAAACAAGAATTGTTCTTGTAATATTCTCCTATTTATATATTTCTATACTAAGTTATAAATCGAGTGAGTTCCTACTAGCGAAAGAGTCATGTCGTAGTCGGAAGCAAACGGTGGATACATTTAGAGGGAAGACAAGTGGATTCCTAAAAGCGAGCAAACCGAAGTGTTCGTTATTAATCCGGGAACCAATTTCCTCAACCACCATCAAGAAGAAGGAGTTAGAGTTATAAGGTAATATTTGATATTACTTGTAATTTCTAATATTACTTGTAACAAATCAAAATTTGTATTATTATATGTTTTTAAAGATGACGATTTGTAAATTCGCCATATGTATATACGGGTTAAGTATTTAAGTGTTAAATACTTGTTTTGAAAAATTTTAAATTCCGCTGCGTATAGCCCGTACGGTACAGGCGAACCCAACAGTGGTATCAGAGCCACGGTTATTTAAAAATAGATTTTGATTTGTTTAAGTTTATATGATAATTAAATGTTTATATGATAAACATATTAATTATCAAAATAAATAAAAAATTCGATTTTTTAGCCACACGGGTCGTGTGACTAAGTCACACTGGTCGTGTGGACTCACACGAGCCGTGTCCATGAGCCACACGGGTCGTGTGAGATAAAGAAAAACTTGTTTTTTGTTCGTGATTTTCACACGAGTCGTGTGATATAGTCACACGAGTCGTGTGGAGACACACGACCCGTGTCTTGAGCCACACGGGTCGTGTGACTTAAGGAAAATTTTGATTTTTTCTTACGGATTTTTCACACGGGTCGTGTGATAGGATCACACGGGTCGTGTGGACTTACACTGGTCGTGTGACTTTGTCACACTGGTCGTGTGACTTAATAATTTTTTTTATTATGTTTTAATTCATGTGATGAATGGGATGATCATGAGCCTCATATTCAATATGATTAAATGTCTATTTTATTATGCAATGTGATTGAATGAATGTAATTTATCGAGACCTGCGAGTCTCTTGAGTTATGATTTGTAAAATTTGAAATTCTTGTATCGTTAGAGATTAGATCTAGGTGGAGACCGTTCGATGCAAAAGGCCCACGCTTGTGTGGGTAATTTTACAAGTTATAAAACTCGAAGGCCTGTGCTTGTACGGGTAGATAAAATAAATTGTAATAGAAGTAGTTCTATTTATTTATTTTATCACGTGCATAGGCATAGATCCATATTGGCTCGAATGGATCGCATAGGCAAGGTCATGATCATCCACCGAATGTATGCATTAAATGTATGTTAGGTTTATTTATGTTTGTGATTCATGCGATGGATGAAACGGTAAATAAACGTAAAGATGGTAATCGATGAGATCTAAGGAACCCTAAAGAATTAATGAGATTAATTCATATCAAATCAATAATGGATAGAAATAAGGTAGAACTTATTAATCCAGGCTTTCCATCAAATGAGATGATTATTTGTTGGCATTGGAACTCGCATGTGGATTCACGGAGCTTTCTTGTCCTTTGTTCATTCTTGATTGATGATCTTGGTCATGCTTACCTTGTGTTTGATTATGTGTAAACGTGTTATGCTGTACACTTGAGTTGTGTCTTTATTAGATTGTTATGACTATGATATTGTATGTGATGTACTCTTGTGCGCCTTTCCCTTAAAAAAAAAAGAAAGAGAAATAAAATGTGAGTTCGCGAGGAAGTACGGATTAGGCTCCTCTTATTCCGAGCCATTTCGTGGATTGGGTAATGTGCCCGGGAAACCGGTTTAGGAAACTCGAAGAAACCTCTCGAGGTTAAACCTAGATCATCTCGTCCGGAAACTTTGTTTGGAAAGAGAAGCTCACGAAAATGAGTTCGTGAGAGTCGAAAGGATTAAGATCCTCTTGGCTCGGTTAGTCTTCTAGATAAACCGGGTTAAGGAGTATGGGAAACCTTTTAGAGTAGGATACCCGATGTTCCAATCGGATTGGACGTATTCTACTTGTAAATACTATCTATTGGAATTATATTGTAAATAAGGCATTACTTTATCTTAAGAGTAAGTTTTTATCCTATAATCGCACTTAAGATAAAATCCTTAAATCACTTATGGTTATAAGGTATGGTTGCGCATAGAGATGGTGATCATGGAACATACCTTGAAAGCTGTGATTTTAAATAAAGTTCCAAGTCGAAGAATGTTTCGAAATGGGATATCGAATAATCCATAAAAGACTTGCACATAGTATGTATGCTTGTTGGACAAGAATGTTGCATTCCATCAACATTAGCGTGCGACGCAAATACATATATGTGGGTGCTTGTTAGAGAACAAGTACACTGAACATGACCGTATGAAAATACTTAATGAAAGATTTGTCTTTTCGAATAAGTATTTTCATGTTACAATAGTACATGACTAAACCTAAGACTTGAGGCACAATGGTAACTTTGTGCATATTACATTCTACTTTGATTTATCCTCTTGTGTAACGCCCCACTTTTATTTGTCGAAAATCAGAATAAATTTTTTTCGAATTTATTTCAAAACACTTTTAGGCGCTACTCATTTTCGAAACATTCATCAATATTCAACTACAATATCAATACTCA